CCAGGCTCCCTGGGCAGCGGACACTTCACAGGCAAGCCGTACAGGTCCCACCAAAACGTCACAGAAGAGACCACGTGACGGCAGCCACCCCCACGTCAGTGAGGAAGTACCGTGCACTGCACTACGCACTTCAGCCCGAGGACAAGCATCTGATCCTGTACTTGTGACCCTAGACAGACTCGCTCACAGCCATCGAGTCTAACTCAACTCACTCGTAGCGACCCTGCAGGACAGAGTAGAACTGCCCTTGTGGGTTTCCGAGGCTGTAACGCTTTATGGGGGGAGACAGCCCTTCTCTTTCTCCCATGAAGTGGCTGGTGGGTTTGAACCGCTGACCTTGTGGCGAGCCCCCCAAGGCGTAGATGAAACCCATGTTATGGATGACGAGACTGAGAGGCCGCAAAGTGAGAGGATTGGCCGAAGGCCCCACAACTGCTAAGTGGCAGACCACCTACTGCTACCAAGTCCATTCTGACTCCCAGAGGCCCTACAGAGGGTTTCTGGGGCTACAGGTCTGGGTTGGAACAGACAGCCTCATCTTTCTCCCCAGGAGTGGCTGGCGGGTTCAAATCACCAACCTAGCGGCCAGCCGTCCAATGCTAGCTTCCCTCACAGCACCACCACGGCTCCTTGCTAGGTAGCCGAGGTGGGTTTCAAATCACCATTCTCTGGTTTGGAGCCCACGTGACATAAAGTCTCACGGTGGCCTGAGGCTTACTTTACCAACAGAACACTGAGGCACCGGGCTGTCAAGGCACAAGAAGAGAAAAGGTCAGAGCTGGGGCTCCGATCCAAGCACCCTGGTCCCAGGGCTGCAGCTCCCCGTCCTTGAGCAAACGGTCTGGCACTCACGGGCTAGTGACCCTGGACGAGTCCTCTGGACTCTGGAAGCCCCGATTGGTTTAACCATACAACGGGACCTCCGTGGCAGTGAATGAGCATGGGTGAATGACTTGCAGGACGCGTCTGGCCCAGCAAGTGCTACGGCTGAGTTCCTGTCACCTCACTCCAGACACTGAATGTTGATGCCCCCCCGCAATGGGGACGTTTGGGAGCTGGGCAGAGAGTCCACTTCAGCAGCCATGCCACCCACCATTACGGGAGCCTGTGGGCAGCCTACCTCCAGAGGGGTGAAGTCGTGGTTGACCAGGAACGCCAGGATGGCGGTGGGGACAATGAGGAACTCCACCCGGAACGTGTCGTGGTTCCCATCGTATGTGGCTTTGAACTTGCTGTAGATCATCCAGACCGTGGTGAAGGAGCAGGCGATATAGACCACCTGTCCGGGGGTTGAGGGGACACACACCTCAGCTCACAGCGTCCTGCCTCAGCCCCCTAAAGGCTTGGCCCAGGAGTCTAAGCAAGATGGGGCCCCCTAAGTTCCTCCTCCCTCAGACCCAGGAGACAGGGTCCTCTGCCCTCCTCCCTCACTCAGGAATTGGGGTCCCCTGTCCCTCCTCCCTATAACCCAGGAGTCGGGTCCCCAGGCCCTCCCCTCCTTCAGATCCAGTAGTGGGCCCCAGGAGTTAGAAATCTCCACCCCCTCCTCCCTCAGCCCCAGGAGTCTTGAACCCCCGAGCTTTTCCTAGGAGGTGGGCAGTGCCCTTACCTTCATGCACGTGTTGTAGAGGGAGATGTAGTTGGTGAAGAGGTCCAAGTACCGGGCAGTGAACACCACCGCAAACAGGACCTGGCTCTTTCCCGAAATCCCTGTGGTCCAGAGGGGAGGAAGGGGTGGGCTGCACGAGGAATCCAAGCAGGGCGCCGCCCGGGTCGGCCCTGGGGTGCAGCTGTCCCCGGAGGCCGCCCGGCCCGCCCCATGAGAAGGGCCCTCTCCCGCGGCTCACAGCCAGGGGGCAGCCCGGGCCCCGCAGCTACTCCAGCCCGAGGCTCTGGCCCGGACTAGGCCTCACGGCCGCCCGGACCCCCTTCCAAAGGCCTCCCCGTCCAGACCCGG